AACGAACTATCAAGAACATCGCTAGTACCACTATGATCTGACGACAATAAAATACCAAAAGTGGCATGTACAGAAAATAATTAAACCTGAAAGGGTATCAAACACGAAATAGCAGTGACATTGAATTCTATAAATTCAAGAAGCTTTCAACAAAATCATCTTCGCAACAATACACAGTACCTGCAGTAGTATTTCTAAACTTTCGCAATGTCCCGTCTCGCTACCGAAAACCATTTTTGCCGCTTCTTACAATCTTTCGGGAACGAAACATATTTTTACAAGATAAGATATACAAAGCGTGTGTGGTCGATTTTTCAAATTTTTCGTTTCTTACAGCAGCCACCCCGAGGTCGCCAGAAGAATTTCTTCAACCTCGTGAAAAGTTGCGCAAACTACCTCAGCCTGAGCCTCTACACCCTACATGGAACCGTCTCGACGGTGCAGTTTTAAACTCGCGCGCCCACCTTAACGGCGACGCTCCCCAACCGCTCAGGGGGACATCCCATCCCAGAAGTCAGTTTCTCAGAATCGATACGTATGTATTTAAAGAACGTCTCATAACAATTTCATCAAAATCGGTGTATTTTTAAGGAAATAAAACATAAACATCGAGAATTTGACTGGGTTTGAAAGGCAGCTGACGTCACAACGCTAGCCAAGCTCTGAGGTGCCGTTTATTTCTAACCTCTTTCGGATTACGAAATGATTTTGCCCATTACCAATTAATTTTTTTAAATCTTTTTATTTCTATCACGTATTAGTGAGTAATTAAGCCTTCCGAATTAGAAAACAAAAAGTATTAGACCTGCATATTTCTCTAAGACATTTTCAATCAGTCGGCCAATAAGAAACGATTCTCGCACAACTTATATTACCAACTTATCCAGAATGTTAAATTTTAGGATTAGTATGCGTATTTCAATAAACGAATGGAGTAAAGCTTTGGTCAGGAAATTGAATCGCGAATCTCAAAAGGACACCGATGAAGTAGCGTCAAGATTTGAAATGTGAACATTTTTAGGTTTACGTTATTGACAGAAGTAGGGTTTTTAACTGAAGTATAGAGGATTATTGGTATGTTCGGGCGAAAAGTCGAAAGTACTACTCTTCGAAAGCATAATATTTAGAGAAGTGTGTCATAGCTGTTATGTTATGAAACACAAAACAGGATATACGTACTTTTGTAGTAACATTAAAAAGGTTTTAATAACAAAATATTGCAACTAGGGCAAATTGGGTTACTATTCTTAAGATGCGATAATGTAGACCACTTAAAATTTTTATGAAAAAGTATCCGAATTGACGTAAAAGCTACACGCGCTTTGTTTTAACTTGGGTGGACTTATAAAACTTTTCTTATTATTCGCAATTTTAATAATTCATAGGACGACTAAATTCTTTCCTCAAGCTTTATCTGGGGAATAAGAACAGGTAGTATAAACAGGTATTGCGCTGAATATAGAGCGATCACACAAAAGATCAGAACGAATGAATGAAAAATGGGGATTTATTGGTATTGGTATTAAACAAAAAAAGTTTTGGCTCCAACAAAAGTGCCATGGAAGTCACGAACGTTATTGGCTATTAGTGTAGTCGTTGCAACACTATGAAAGAGAATAATTTTCCTTTGACTGCCAATTTTACTATAATTTATGTTTTCCTCCAAGCATACCCAATAATCAAGTCTGCTATACGATACAGTTTGTTTCAAGTTTTTGAATGTATAATGTCTTTTGGCATATTAAGGGGGGATTCCAGTTGTACATTAATGCCTAAAAATATGCTATCTAAAATGTCGTTTTACGCGCTTATAATCTGAGTTGAAGAAAGGGTCTCTATCTGTACGTCTACAGTAACTATTCAAGAACCCGGCTATAAGCCCATAATTTCGTATTTTTGAAAAACAATTTTTTTACAGGGCACAACCCGGGCATAAAAAAATATATAATGTGACGGATTACATGCGTCTCTCGCGATATTTAACAAAAACCTCTTATAGCCGGGATGAGTAGGTTGTAAGGAAAATGTTAAGCCTTTAACCGAGTTTTCAAATTCGTTCTACGCCGTTTAAAACGAAATTTTGAAAAACGCTCAATATCGAAAGTGTAGAAAAACTGCATACAAACGTTAGGCAACAAACACATCATGCTATATACGTTCAGCAAATCGCCTTTAATTGCGTCTCTTCTATTGGTGGCATTATTAGCTAATTGTGTTCACTTTGTGAAATAGGCGGGTTTACTACAAGACTTAATCACCCACCACTTTCCATTGTTTGTACTACTACGGCTATAAAATAGTAGATTGTGTATAGTAAAAGCAATACATTCCCGGACTACAATAGCCGAGACCAACTAGCAATGGAGTCCGGGAATTTGCTTTTACTACGAGGTACACATACTGTTTTTTCTGAAATCGCAATCAACATCGTCATAAATTAAGGAATAGATAAATGCCATAAATGCATATAGTCCAGTAAAATCGGCTCTGAAATATTCACATGAGTGACCCAAGAGTACAACCAGATGTGTTATATATCATTTTAAAGAGCTCTATCATTTGTGAAAAAATTCAAAGCTTTTTCTGGGGTACGGAACCTTGGGAAAATTAAAAAGAAACCGCAAATTTTCGAGCGCGCGGAAAATGTGTTCTTGAAATATTTCAAATCCAGTTACACGTAAAAAGAAGAAAAAAAAAAGAAACTAGAAGACTTCTATCCGTTAAGACGGCGTTGAATTCGGTAGTCCTTAGCGCTTCGAATAAAGTTTATTTTATATTGCTGCGACAAATACTTTTCATTTTATTAGGTGTTGAACACAAAATTTTTCTAATGTTGCATCGAAAACTTCGACATGCGGGCAGCTATGTGATTTATTCAATATTTTGACATTTAAGATTTGCATAAGTATTCAGAAAACATGCGAAAAGTTTTTAAAAAAAAGATTATGTTGATATCTGGTGTACTTCCGAAGATACGATTTTTTTCCTAGTGACGCGTATAGTGCACCGAATCGTCGCGTGGTCTGGGCGCTAACTTCGCGCACGTTGTGGCGGAGCTCCTACTTTTTAAACCTTGTAATAAACACGCTATTTATGTTTTTATCATTTATTTATTAATTATACACCTACACACCTTATATCTGGTTGTCTGAATCTAAATCCAACTCGATCATACTGTTTTTACAATCTTTGCAGACACATTCGGTGCAACATTTAATTTCATGCCTTCTTTCAGGCATGTGCATTTTTCATTTGCTCACGATTTATCCCTGCAAAAGATTGCCAATAGTCGTCGGATGTCATTTGGCGCACATTCCTGAAGTGACATCACAGGTTCCAATGAATCTGTTGTATCGACCCATCCAAAATTGACAGGATCCTGGAACGGTAGGTGATTTTCATGACTATGTAGCCATATTTTTGTTTGGTATATAGTTCTAAAATAAATTCAATAAAACAAAATTGATGAATGAGCTATTTACTCTTTACCTTAGAACATGTTGTAGAAATGCTTCATCTGTTGGTGGTAGTTCAGAGGCCGTTTTGTTCCTTGTTTTGGTCCAAATATGTCTGAGTTTGTTCAAAGATTTAATAGATAGTATTTGTAGCGTTCCAAAATTCTGTAAAATAGAAAATTATTTATATTCAAATTTAAAAATTAGCAAACTTTTAATGCAGTCGTATAGCGCATGAACGCGATACGCGGCGGCGATAAACGGACAATTTTTGAAGGAATAGGAGAAGGCATATGGCGATCTTGTTATAGAGACGTTCTGAATTATTAGTTAAAACAAATTTAGTTTAAGAGACTTATTTAAGTCAGTGGGGTTGCGTGACTGAAAACAACACGTAAGTTACTGAAAATAAAATCTATTTAATAAACGTCAATAATTTTAGGTTTTTAGTTACTTAATTTTCTACAATAATTATTCCAGCACAGATTACAGCAGACAATAAAAAGCACATTATTTTGATAAGTGTCTGAAAATTCTTACGAGGGCCGTTCGTCATCTCTAGTAAGATATAAATTCAATAAGTACCTTAGTCATATTTAGGGACGGGTTACATTTTAGGGCTCTCAATTCTAAGTGTTGGAATTTGAACTACGTAGCCAGCTCCTGATGCCTATAGGACGCAAAATATTATATCACCTGCAAAATAACTAAAGAAAATCGTGTCCATTGCGATAAGAAGGAACGTAGCCGCCATAATTCCACCTGCGCTGCTCAAAGGTTTGAAAGTTAACCAAATCTGTAAACAGCGATGATTTTATGAATTCCCATATTGAAATAAATCTATCGTTATCTTTGTTGGGATTTAATTGTTAATGTTATTTGTGTTTGTTGCCAATAATTTGTGTATCATTGCTAGATTAGTAACGGTTGCAAACGTGAATGATCAATCATCCGCTGCATTCAGCATTCAATTTAAAACTTGCCTGTTTAAATAAATTAAACAATTTATGCATATATGTTTATCAATATTGTCCCACCACCTGTCGTTGGGCAATTTAAAATAAGACAGGTTGGCGCCCACCAAACAACGAATAAGTAACAATAGGTAACCCACGATTCCAGCTTCCGAACCTTCGAGCACGGTCAGCACCTATAACCACCAAAGTAAGGTTACAAGGTGCTGCCACTTCGACAGTGCAATTGAAATTGCCTTTTTATATAAAGCATGCGGTTGGGCTGCAATGTTTACCTTCGTGGGCGTTCTTGGTAGATCTTGATAACCATCATCATAGTTTAGTTTGTAGGTAATGCTCTTGTTACTGTATATTAAACATACAACATCTGTGACAACAGAATCGCCTGCCTTCTTCCCAGGGCGAATGGAGTCATAGTATTGGAGATGTTTTGCAGAATGGTCCTTAAAGAAGCCATGTGTAAGATATTTCACATCAGTAGTGTAGCTGGGTACGTACGAGCACAGGAAGTGACGTCAGATTAATCAGGAGCTAGTATTTTGGCCCCGTGACGGTAGACGGCCAAAGAGAGACGAGTAATGGCTGCCGTCGGCCATTTTGTGGTTTACGAGTTGATAAATGAGAGAGTTGACCATTTTGTATTTGGCGTGTTGGATGCGCCTGATGAGGTGACCCCCTGGGTGGTATGTTGGAATCATCGAGTTGTGTTGCAGTGGTATGTCATTTTATGGTCAACATTTCTTAATGAGACTTTTTACGGAGCTAGGTACTTCTTATGAGGGGTTGTTGCCTTGAGAGGGAGCCTTTGCTTGCGGGGGTGTGGTAGCACTAGATGGCGAAGGGTAGCAGGGAAAGAAAAAAAAGGTACCTGTGCCCTCTAGCGGTACAGGTTTGCAAGTAAGGTGTCAGGATTTGAACGGAGCTTAAAACGCTAGCTGGTCTAGCAGTTAACGGAGTTAATCACTAGACCAACTAGAGCTTACTTTGAGGAAGACTAAAAAAAGGTAACAAATAGTTCGTTAATTCACCTTGAATGCAATATTTGCATTATAAGCGGAGCTGGTCCATCAATATGGATACGTTGCCACGGTTGATTCCAGTGTTTAGTACAGCGAATTCGATTACATATTTCGCTATCATTTTGATATATAATGGGTATCTTGGTCCATATCTGCATTAGTTTGTTAAACGTTTAGTTGCAGTAATGCATTCCTCGTTTCATTAAAGTACTTTTCTTTTTCCGCTTCGAATTGTTGTATACTTTCAAGTATTTGATTCATTTTAATCTAGAAATTGTATAATTACCATATCGATGTAAAAATGTAAACTCACCACTCAATCACCGCGCACAGTTGCATGTAAATGAATTGTAATCAATATCCGCCTTAGTCCTTTAGATAACAGGAAAAGAGTAACCGCAGCGAGCAATTAAAGTCGCATACACACGAAACATAAAAAAGGCTACGTATATAGGTACTATATAACGCGCATGTCTTATAATCAGTGTAAAAGAGTCGATACTAATCCTTGGGACAGCAGTAGCGGATCGAATCGTGCTACCTACATTATGAGCGATCAACAAAACAATTTGAACCTGTCCTCAAAGAGCTATGGAGTGAGGAAAGCGCAAATTTTAGTTGGATTGATAATTCGGCAGAAACGATAGTCACAGATTCGACTTTAATATCAACATGATCTTTAATTCTCGATGGAGTGATTAGACTAGAACTGTGGCATTGAAGGATTTTGCGCCATCCGTGCAAGTATTTTGTAATCAGGCATATTTCAAATATTAAAACAGAGCGTATAATTCGGCTCATGTTAAATGGTCTGGAAGATCAGCAGAATCAGGAAAGGTTTATTGGCTGTGGCATAACAATCGAGGCAGTTAATTTTACACCATTTTACATAGTGTTCTGTTAATCAAAAAAGCGATCACCCTCCTTTTTGCTGCCGTAACTGCTGTGAACCAAAAATTAGACAACTTTAATGATCATTCCATGTACTGAACGTATTACAACTTCATATGTGCAGTAGAAGAAACACTTCATAGGGAAGTTAAAACACATGACGAAAGCATTTTGTCAAGAGGGAAATTTTTCTGTCAAAACCTCTAAATTATTAAAATCGATAGTTGAATGCAGGCAATGGACAACTGATTTAACGTTTTGTTAGAAATTGTAAATATTTACCCTGAAACGTTTAAGGATGTTAGAGATAAGCTAAGAATATTTTAAAAAAAGCTGTATGTTATTAATAAAACACCTTCATAAGTATAATCACTCTTTTATTTTCTAATACAAGTACGTCTAGGTTGTAAATAAGGTTTAACATGCTTATCAAATTTGATGAGATTAGATAATACATCATAAAGCTGTTCTAGTAGCCCCTTATTAGCGCAATGAATCTTGAATAAAGATAAATCCAGGATTCCTGTTTGAGTCACCTGCTCCGAAAATTCACTATATTTATAAAATTTATTGTTGTTATCAATAAAGTAGAGATAACCATCAATATATTTAAACACGGATGTGAATTTGTTGGGGATGTAAGGAAATGTTTGGCTGTATATCAATCGATTCTTCGGTTTATTATTGCAATCATCAAACTCGATCACTTCGTTCGAGCCATGGTAAATAAGTGAGCGTCCAGAATAAGTGTTAAATGCAGCGTTCACTGCACCTGGGATCCCAAATCGATGATAGGGCTGAGGCCATCCTGCTAGCAATTGTAAACTAGGGAACTGCACTATGTAAATTTGACCTCCGCTAATGAATATAATGTCACTATTAGGTTTCTGATATATCGCTTCGAAACGTTCGAAAGATTTCGGAAGGAACGGCAGCCATTCGAATAAATTCCTCGCGGTCTCAATGTAATTACTACCTAGAGCTGATATCCTCACCCAATGTTTGTAAAACATATAAATTCGTTTGTTTAAAATTAAAAAGCGTTCCACTTGAATTGCGCACAAATCGGGTGGTTCACTAGATGACGCTTTTTCTTCAGAGTAGTATCAGCAGTGGTGCTTGTAGTTTTTGTAGTAGTAGAAGTAGCCTTCTTCATTGGGATCTAGCTTCTGTATACCTACGATATCATCAGCGCCCAAATCACGCTTATCGCGAGTTATATAGGGAAACATAATTGCATCTTCATCCTTCGAATGTTCTAATCCCAGTGCATGATCTATCTCATGAACTAAAACCGCATAGTAGCTAGTTGAATCTGCAGGCGGTATATTTGAATCCTCAAAGTACCATGCTTCACTTCTATCCATATGTAATGTCTACCGGAGTCTGACTGCGTTTTGGAAAGTTGGCATGTGCTAGTTTGCCACCTCGACCGTCTAAGGCCCGTTGAGATGTGGAATGGGGATTTAAATACATCGAATGATTGAGGCTTTGAAATGTTATTAATATTATCATATCCAGAAGTTTTATACGCAAATTTTAAATTTGCATATCTTCCTCAAGTTTGGAAAGCTTCTCTAGTGCGGGCTAGCGCTCGATAATCACTATATGCAAGATGATAATATATTGTTTTCTTTTCCCATTTATAGGGTGCTACCGAATAGGAGCTCAAAATATCTTCGTTTCCGCATCTAGGTCTCACCATAAACCCAAAAGTGTCATCATAGAATTCTTCATCCGTAGGTAGCTTGTAATATTCTTGAAATGCTTTTAATTTGTTACTAGTTCTGGAGTTAAAGACCTTATTTTCTCTTCGTAAAGCCATTGAAAGTTATTCTGAGGTAAACACTGAATTTGAGCCCAACCATATAAATTAACCATATCCGTGTATAGAATATGAGAGGACGGCTTGCTAGAATCATAGTTTTCCATATACTTGTTGATTGCTTTACTATATTTCGTGCAGCACTGAGTTATTCTGCCTCTTATTCCCTTTTCCACGAACAATACCATATCGATATCAGATAAGAGATCCAGTTTTACCTTTGTATAGTTGAGCATGCATTGCCACGAACCTGGTGCGGTAAAGAAAAACGCGGGGTCTAGTTTATGCGTTGTTATGCATTTCTCTCTAAAATTGGTGAAGACGTCGGCGAGATGATTCCTCGAATTTCGTCCAATCATCCTTGTATTCGTACGGAAACACATATTTTTTAGTTAATAACTTTAACTGCTTATCGTTTAAATGGCCTTAGAGCGTAAAATTTTAAAATCGTCAAATTTTAAATATGATGCCAATTTGTCTAATGATGAATCCATAAAGCGAAACGAATCTACAAATCTGAATTGCACTGTAGTGTCCTTCATGTGCTTAGTGAATGAGATGTAGCGCTCTTTGTTTTTAGGCAAAAGTGTAACTTTACCGGGAATAGCTTGTGCAATGTTTTTAATAATAACATTACTATCGTAACCGCTGAAATTATGGAAAAATATTGGAATCATGTGAAGGGGCCTTATAACGAAGATTGCAAGCCTGATGGGCACTAGATCGAAATCGGCCTGTAAAGTGACAGTGATCGCGAACTTTGACCCCCCTCCAGTATCGGCCCTTCGCAAATGTGACAATGAGTGCTTACATTATACGCGAGCATTTGCATATCACTCAGCGGTGCCATTGGCATGGGTGTATCGAAATATCGTTGCAAAAAACGCATCATCCACGAACCATTCCCTGGCATGGTGAAGAACATCGAGATTTGGTCTTTTTCCAAAGCTCAATATTATATTAAGGACAGGTCCACTATCAGCAAGTAAAAAATTTTCAAAAAATCCTGGTCGAACTTCGTATGCCGAATAAACTTATGGGATAACTAATTGCTCCAAATTTGCAGGATTTGGGGGAGCCGCACGGATTTCCAACCTTTTCCTTCTCACAGTCTTTTTAAGCGTTTGGGATCGAGGAAGTGCACCTCGAGCTGCATCTAAAGTGCATTCATTCAGAACTTGTGGGTTCAATAGTGTCAGCTGCACGACGTTTAAACCTGGTAATGATTTTTTGAACTTCTACCTTTGCAGCGGATGCTTCGTGTAAATGTTGATTGATAGGTTTCAAAACTCCATCTTCCCCACTATGCAATCTGGCTTTGCACCTTCCTCGTTCTTGGCATCTCCAAAACTTAACATTTCCATCACTTGACATCCTATCAAAAACGTACACAAAACTTTCACTACAAAAGTTTGCTTGAGAACGCTGTGAGAGTATTTCATTTTCCATTGTCGATTGAGCACTGCTCAACTAAGGTTTCGATTAGAGTGCAACCACACGTGTAAAGATTGCAAAGTAGTTTCAGTTTGCAAAACTAGTTGGTTAGGTTTAGAAAAACTTAAATAATAAACAAAAGACATTTTCCAAGTACCGCCCTTGCATTTTGTATAGAGTAGAATTCACCTCAACCCAGGTTCGAACACCCTACCTCCGGATTTATAGTCCAACGCTCTACCATTGAACCATAAAGCCGGATAGTAAATTTGTCCTTTCAGATAAAAATGGCTCAAACGAAGCACGTGCTGAAGTTTAGTGCCATTCATTGTGAATTACTTCACCAGTGCTGATGAAACAAAACTTATTCGAAGAGGTAGTATTGATAAATAATATATTAAAATGTAAAATTTTATACTTCAAGGGGAAAATGCAGTGAAATTAAACCACGTAGAACAGTGCTGAACTACTCGATCGATTGTACGATGTAGAGGTAAAATATTTATTTTAAAGATTTAATCAACATCATATTAAACTATTATTTATTAGGTATATCTATAAGGATGGCGAAATCGAGAAAACAAAATGTAGCTGTCCTCGAGGGCAATCATGCCATCATGTAGCGGCTTTGTGTATATATGGCCATCATAATATTTCAGTACCCGATGTTCAGTGCCAGTGGGCTAAACGGAAATCGAAGGAAATCACCACGAAAACTGTTGACGAAATTTATCGGGCCATTCAAATCTTCATCTTCAAATAAAGAGTAATGTTTTATAGAGAAGGTGCTAGTGAATGAGGAAAAAATTAAATCCATCATCAGTGAAGCCACTATTGGCCAGGCCAATAATCCACATTGGCTTATTTGTAGAAAAAATCGCTTAACCGCAAGTAATTTTGGAGCAGTATTGGCTGCAATAAAAAGGAACCGCTATCCCCCATCACTGTTTAGGCGATTAATTGGTACTATAACCCAACAATGTTTGGATTTATTTTTTCAATCGATAATAATTTTAGAGAGATGAACCGGAAGCTATAGAGCAATTCCAAGCCATCACAAATCTCCAAGTTACACCTACAGGATTGTGGTTGCATCGGTGTGGTTTTCTTGAAGCAAGTCCTGATGGATTTGTAGGACATGAGTGTATTATAGAGATGCCCATACCAATTTCGAAATAAAATTTTAAAGGAGGAACTTAAAGCAAATATGTCTTATATTGTTTGTTATGATGATGATACTATCGTAATTAATCAAAATCACCAATATTAAGCACAAATTCAACTCTTGTAACGGAAGCTTGTTAAATTTTTCAAGTTTTGTGGATTTCAAAATTATATTTGAGTAGAAGTGTGTATCGATGATTCAGATTTCTGGGAAGTTGTAGTTTTCATTAAAAATAACAAACATTTTTTTTGTCGAGGTAATTAAGTTTCAAATATCGTGAAATATAAGATGAGTTATTGGTTTTGGACTTCCTATTTTGGGCTAGTTAATGATTAGTACGTGATTTAAAAAAGGTCACTGGTTAAAAGACGCAATTGATTCTAAGAAAAATATGTAATTAAACAGCGAGGCTAAAAAATTATGAGTTTGTTTATTTCCGGTCACTCGATGGGAGCGTTAATTACGGGCGCTGGTTTTGTCGTTGATATTCACGCGGAGCGTGGATACCGTCGCAGAAAACGCGGCTACGGGCCACTTAAGTAATGAGGTGCTGGGTATTAAAGACCTAAACCTAACTTACAATGAACTTACTTAGATTATAATAAATTATAACCCAGCTTGGAAACGGTCTGGGAATCTGACACTTCTGCCAGAGCGCGTAGTGATTAACCTACTATTTCCTAAGCTTACATCGCTACTTACATTACTATTTACAATCACCGCGGGAACAGGATTCCCGGCGTCGCATTTAACCTGAATAGTGAAACCCTGTTCGTCGTCATCGCAACTTTCATCAAACTGATCTTGCTCGGCGATATTTTCTGATAGCGTAAATGCCGGTTTTAAACGGTCGATGGAGACGCGACACTTTTTGTCATTGACTTCAATTATGAAAGATTTTTCGTCGCGTTCCAACACTATATGGTCCGTCGTACGGAGGGTCAGATAAACCGCGCACCGCGTCACGGCGAAGAAAAACGTATGGAGACGTTGTTAATTCTTTGAACACAAAAACTTTCTTTTCGCCATGGCGCCGTACCGGAGTTGGTTTAATATCGCTCATGCGTTTCTTTAAATCGACCACAAATTTAGACGTCGGGTGGTCATTACGCGTCAGGAAAAATTCCGCAGGCAATCTTAGGCTAGTCCCGTAAACTAATTCGGCAGCTGTAGTTGCCAGATCCTCCTTAATCGCGGTACGGATCCCTAGCAAAACGATTGGCAAAGTAGCAACCCAATCATTGCCACCATGGCATTTTATAGCGGCCTTGAGTTGCCTGTGAAATCTTTCGACTAAACCGTTCGCTTGTGGATGATAACTTGTCGTACGAATACGTTTTGTACCTAACAAGTTGCATAACTCTGCAAACAACGCGGATTCGAATTGGCGTCCTTGATCGGTTGTTATACGCGAAGGAATACCAAAACACGCTATCCATGTTGATAAAAACGCAGTTGCGACGGTCACTGCTTCCATATCCGCGATTGGGATTACTTCAGGCCATCGAGAGAAGCGGTCCACACACGTCAAACAATATCTGTAGCCTTGACAATAACTCATGCTAATGATATCTAAATGGACATGTTCGAAACGATCAGCCATATTCTCGAATTGCTGAACAGGCGCGGAAACATGACGAGTCACTTTGCATCGCTGGCACGAAATGCACGCACGCGTCCATTCTCTGCAATCTTTGTTTATTGCAGGCCAAACGAAACGCGAAGTAATTAGATGCTGTGTAGCACGAATACCAGGATGGGATAAACCATGTAATGAATTGAAAACGGCGCGACGAAGATGTAATGGGACAAAAGGTCGTATTACGTCGCCAGTCGTATCGCAATACAAATTCGTATTGTATTCTGGAAAATAAACTTTCTTAAGAATTAGCGTTTGTTGCTCACGAGATAACCAATCTCGCAACTCCTTGTCCTTCTCTTGGGCGGCAGCGAGAGAAACGTGATCAACTGCAGGGGAGATTGATTGGACACGGGATAATGCATCAGCCACAAAATTTTCAGACCCTTTAATATGCTGGATATCAGTTGAAAATTGGGAAATGAAATCTAAATGTCGAAATTGACGCGGAGAGCACTTATCCAATTTTTGATTGAAAGCATAAATTAATGGTTTGTGGTCGGTGAAAATTGTAAAATTCCTACCTTCTACCATGTGTCGGAAATATCTAATCGCGCTGTATATAGCGTAGAGTTCCCGGTCATACGCGCTGTATTTTCGTTGGGCAGAATTCAAAGTTTTGGTATAAAACGCGAGTGGTTGCCAAGCGTTATTCACGCGCTGTTGCAATGCTCCGCCGATTGAAAAATCAGAAGCGTCCACCACAATGCTAATTAGCGCATTTGGAACAGGATGTGCAAGGATCGCGGCATCCGCGAGAGCCGTCTTTGATTCGGCGAAAGCGTCGCGAGCTTCGTCAATCCACTCGACAGGAGCGTCCCCCTTTTTTGAACCCCTAAGTAAGTCGTTCAAAGGATGTAGAATTCTCGCAGCGTGCTGTACAAAACGTCGATAGAAATTGAACATTCCGAGGTAACAACGTAAACTTTTAATCGTCATAGGCAGAGAAAATTTGGAAATCGCTTCAACGCGTTCGCGCATTGGAGTTATACCGCTGGCATTTACCGTATAGCCGAGGAAAGCTATTTCGCTTACGCCGAAAACGCATTTCGCGGGATTAATCACAACCCCGTATTTCGCGAAGCGGTCGAATAAAATTTTCAAATGCTCTACATGCTGAGCTTCGTTCTCGGACGCAATTAAAAAATCGTCTATATACGCGTATACGAAGTCAAGTCCACGTATAATCTCGTCCACAAAACGCTGACAAGTTTGCGCTGCGTTGCGCAATCCGAACATCATCATCACGGGTTCGAATAAACCAAATGGCGTAATTATGGCGGCCTTTTCGACGTCTTCCGGCGCAATGGGAATTTGATTAATCCTGCAGTACTCGCGTGAAGATTTGTTACGTGTCCCATAATAACTAACAGGCTTAAATGAAAAGTTAATTGATATTTTGGTACAAAGTGAAGATGTGTGTCATATTTTTTTATTAAGAACCATTCAAACGAGAAATAAAATTAAGAAAGACAATTAAAAAATTTAAAGAAACCCGATTATTCGTCTTCTTTTTCTTCGCATTTTAAGCACACTACAGGCGAATCATTTTGATGATCTTTTCAAATCCAATTATTATTGCAAATGGAGCAGTAGTCTCTGGTCCTTTTGTCTCTTTTGCGAGGACATATGTAGCACCGACCATTTCCTGTTCGGGCCTTCTTTGACGGTGATGCAATGTTGTTTGCAGAAGTAGATGATTCTTCCAAACGTTCGGTTACAAGCAAACAGCATCGTTCCCTCAACTGTTTTGAAATATTGGGAATGCCAGATCGTTTCCTAATTTGCGGTTTCATAAGATCCAAAGCTAAGGTGCGTAAAAAATCGCGTCGTTTGTGAGTTAGGTTTGAGTTGTTCATTTGGAATAATACTAATGCATTAATTGCTGTTATATTCATAATATCAAAAAATATAGTAAGAGGCCATCTCCTACTATTTCTAGCAACATTGTACGCGGCACACATCTGGTCGACAACATCAACTCCAAACTTGGTGTGATTGTAGTCCACTACCATCGTTGGTTTGCCAGTTTCATGGTCAATACTGTCATCTGCATGGCTTGTAGATAGAACCAGTACATTTTTGTTCTTTCTTGGAACAAACGATACAAGAGTGCACTCATTATGAAACGCGAACTGACTACTCAATGCTGGTCTCTCAGCAGTATTTATAAACTCTGCCGGTATTTCTCGTTTATTTTTCTTGACTGTCCCGAGCATAGTAAGTTTGAATTCATTTTTTAGTTGAACAGCAAGTGCAAAGCTAGAAAACCAATTGCCCATGGTTATATTACGATATGTTCCTCTAATAAAAGAAACAAGTCGCTTGACAACATCCGAAGGGATGTTAGATAATTGAAAAGGACCGCCTGGTTGAGTTCCAGCGTATATTTCTAGATTCAAGGTATACATGTGACTTGAATCAACTAGAACGAAAACTTTTAGGCCGTATTTCGCTGGCTTTGATGGTATATACTGCCTAAAAGGGCAACGGCCACCAGTTGTTCATCAATTGTTAGATCGGGTCCAGGCATAATGGATTTCTGGCAGTTTTCTATAAACACCCCAAAAATGTTTCTTATTGCTGCCAACAATTTGAACGTAAAGATGTCTTGGTTTGGTATCCATCTTATTCCCAACGATTTGATCTGGTCGTCATTGTTGAACTCGGCTACAGCAGGATCTCTAGCTTCCATGGGAATAGTGGTTAATGTCTCTTCTTTATTGGCTGCCCATTTATGTAGCTGGAACCCTCCTTTTTTTAGCATATTGGTTAATTCTTTTTGCAATTGTACTACTTGAGGTATGCTGTTAGCACCAGATAAAATGTCGTCCACATAGAAGTCTTGTAGCGTGACTCGTGCTGCGTATGGATACTCTTCTTTTTCGTCTTCTGCTAACTGTTGTAGTGTCTTTATGGCTAAGTATGGAGCTGCCGCTGTTCCATATGTTACTGTGTTGAGCTGGTATTCGCGTATCGGCTGATTACGTTCGAATCTCCATACTATAGTCTGGAACTGGCGATCGTCTTGATGTATCCTTATTTGGCGGTACATCTTTTTAATATCTGCTGTGAACGCATATTGATGTTTTCTCCATCTTAGTAATATATCGGCTATGTCTGGCTGCAACCTCGGTCCCACATACATCATCTCATTTAAACTTCCGCTGGTCGTCGTTTTGGCTGATGCATCAAACACCACTCTCATCTTCGTTGTAGTACTGGATTCCTTTATCACTGGTTGGTGTGGTATGTAATAGCGTGTGCCCTCGATTGAGTGTGCCTGTACCATTTCCATGTGACCCAAATCCAGGTATTCTTGTAGAAACGCGTTGTATTCTTCACGCATCTTGTCGTTTGCTGCTAGTTTTTTCTCCAGTTGCAACAACCTGGCTATTGCTAGTGGTCTGGATCGCCCCCATTTGATCGAATTCTTCTTGAATGGAATCTTGACTGTGTATCTTCCATCGGGGCTGCGTGTAGTGTTTGCCTTATAGTGGTCTTCGCACTTCTTGTCTTCTTCATTGAACCCATTAGCCATGGTCGCTTCTTCTATTTCCCAGTATTTGGATAGTTGTGTCTCTTCTTCCATTGTTGATACCATGCCCAGTATTTGATAGCCTTGGTTGACACCGTGCTTTGTTTGCCCGGATATCACCCACCCAAATTCGGTTTGTTGACCCACTAATTTTCCTTCTTTCATGACTCCCGGTAGTATGATCTTTGCGTATTCCTCGGCACCCAGTAGTATGTCAATTGGTCCGGAGTTATTCAGCGTGGGATCAGCTAACAGCACATTCTTCCATGGATCTTTGTTCATCTCAAACGACGCCAGTGGTAGATTTTCGGTTATCTTTGTGAGAATGATTAGTTCTGTTGTTAACTCATACTCACTTGGTTGTCTTGGATGTAATTGAACCGTTATCTTGGTTTTTGCGTTAGTGTGATCATAACCACCTATTCCTGATACCCTTGCATTCGCTTTTTGTCGTGGTAGCTTCAACTGCTGTGCTGCCTTTTCTGTGATGAACGAGGCTTGTGATCCAGGGTCCACTAGTACTCTTAATAATTGCTGTACGCCAGTGAGGTCTTGTGCTTGTACTATCGCTGTTGCTAGTAGTACTTCCTGGTTTTCCTTTTGGGTTTGACAATTCCTTTTAGATACTGTAGTGTGTGATGTTCTTGTGCTTGCTTGTGTTGCCCGCTCTGCTATTGGTTTGTACGGTTGGTGAAGTAAAGTGTGATGTGGATAACCGCATTCTGCACACCTGTACGCTGAGTAGCATTTTTCCTCGCTGTTGTGTTTTAAACACCTAAAACATATTTTTCTTTCTCTTACTTCCTTGTTTCTGTCGTTGATTGATAGCCCCTTGAACTTAAGGCATTGTTCAAGTCGATGCTCCTGTTGGCAGTAATGGCATGATATGGTGGACGTGTTTCCCCAGGTGTACCTAGGACTCGCATCCTTGCTCTGCATTGACCCCGATGCCTCCAAGGACTGGAACCTCGTCTGCATGAACTGCATCACTTCTCCTAATGCTGGGATTTCATTTGGTTGTTTTAGTGACTGCTCAAATAGCCTGTTGGTTTCTGAGTCCCATTTCTTTGTGGTGATTCTAATTACCATTGGACCCCATGACGATGTATCCATTCCCAGATTTGATATTGTCTCCAGACACTCATGTATGGTATCGTGAAGCCATTTCAATCGAGATGCCTTCGCTGTTTCCATTTTCGAGAATTCCAGGATTCTATCTAATAACGTATTTACCATTAATCTTTTGTTATTATACCTGTTTTGAAGGATCTTCCATGCTGTTACGTAATTTTGTTCCGAGATCATTAGATGCTGTATAAGTCTTGCTGCTTCTCCGTCCACATGCCCCTTCAGATAGTGCATCTTCTCCGCGTTCGATAACTTCTCGTTGGAATGTATTAATTTCTCGAACAAATCGTGGAAGGGAGCCCAATTGTCATATCCACTTCGGAACGTTGGTATTTTTATTTTGGGCAGCTCGATGTTGTTTGTCGCCTTTATACTTGCCTTTTTGGTGAGCATTTTTAATTTTTCTTGTATGTTATCGTATTCGAATTCCATTTTCGTGACTGGATCCTTTCTAAAATACTCATGAGAGAAGCTCACCTCGTTTGCTTGAATGTCCACTTCAAGCTCTGATATTACTTCCCACTTCTTCTCTGCTTTGGTGTACAATGTTTCGCAGCGTCTTAAGTTCTGCTCCATTATTTCCTCTTCCATTTGAAACAATATCCCTCTAAATTGTTTTAGACGAACCTCCTGTTTTTTTATTCGGAGCTCCTGTTCGTTATCCATTTTTTCAATATCCTCTTCCTTCTTCTGCTGCTTCTGTAACTGTTGTAGATAATTTTTCGTGTTGTCGTAGACCTTTTGCAGCTGATCTCTGTACTTTGTACTGTGATACTCATGATTTTGTATCTGTAATTCGATAATTTCGTTATGATTTTTTTCGATACCTTCCTGATAAGCTTCCAGCTGTCGGTCATGTTTCACAATATATTCGCTGGTTTTCCTGGAGGCTGAGTCTTTCTTCATATTGGCTAACATTTTACACATTTGTTGACCAATCTGCTGTTGTTTCCGTGCGAGTTCGTTTAATTGCTCCATTTGAACTTCTGGTAACTAAAACAGAATCCAAACCAACACCCCCTCTTACTTCAGAACCGTTTTTCCCCCTTTTTTTTTTTTAGTAGTAGTTGTTGTGTCGTATGCTGAAAATTTGGTTCTGGCCCGAATAATTCCAAAAACTTGTTCTGTAATGCAACGTTGTGTTTGTCGCACGCAGATATCCGTGGGTCCCCCCGGACTCTTAACGTTGGACTGAAGCTGTATGGTTTGCTCCTTCCTGCTACAGGAATCAGTCTCCAGTTGTTGTCGCCGGCGTTCTTCTGCATCAGCGACGCGACTCTTGATCGCCTTTTTGTTAGTAGGTAGGATCCTTTTGTTTTTCGCCGCTTCCCTTGACTTTTTTAGTCAAAATAAAATTCCGCTTACCCAGTGCCTCTCGCTCAAGTCCAAGGGTCGTAAATCCTTGACTGCTAATAGTGGTTTTGCTGCCGCTGGTGGTGGCTTGAAGGACCTTTTTATTTTCTGCCGCTGGTGTTGGCTCGAAGGACCATGAACAATATTGAGATTACTCCCAATATTATTTAGTGTAAGCACAGGGTGGTACACAGTCTCATGCACCGAATTTTAAAGACTTGGAAGCCCCGTGCTCACGTAGAGTGACTAAACGACTTTTGTGTCAATAGTAATTTATTCTACATTTTACGTTGTTTATATACAAAATTTTATACAACAATTGGCAAATTAATTGCAATCTGTTAATTGCAAATTGAAAACTAACCTAGTCAATGTTGTGTGCAAATTGTCCTCATTTACAAATAATGCAATGTAATTTTATTTCTTAATCCTACTTTCTTTCCCAATTAACTATTTCTCTAATATTTGGCCAGCGCCCTTTCCTGTTTAATGGTGATATTAAACACTATGCCTTTTTCGAAAGTTACAAATCCAGCCCCTGCTAGCTCTAAAATTATCATTTCCATATGTTTCGGTATAAAACTGTCTTGCTTTAGCAGATAAAATTTCATAGGAAATTGGGACATGCCTCGATCTTTGTCTACAAAACCATGCATACAAACGAGTTTCCATTTCAGCATATTAAGCTTTTCGTAAAGTTTTTCTGAGCCCTGGGGCAAATTCACATTGACCAATAAATCTTAAAAAAACAACAATTGTACAAAAAAACCACTAAAATTGTTTTAGAATTAATCCTACCTGTCTATTTTAGCCTTTTTCTTTTTTATGTCACAGATTGTAGATCTTCCAACCCCATACTCAGCGGCCAACACTTTACCACTTTCTCCATTGTTAAGTCTTTCAATAATTTCACTTTTTTGTTTTATGGACAATGTCTTGTGTTTTCTTTTAGGGGCCATTTTTATTTAAGCAAATATTAAAATAAAAACCCACTTATATCACCTCAAATGGCATTACAAACATCCCATGCAACAAGCAAAGTAGTATGTAAATATGTATGTATCACTGCTCAAAAGCATACAAAGCAGTAAAAATGCTGCACAACCAGTTTAATGTGAATCCCAGATGATGTAATTGGGGAAATCCCTGAACATCTAGTCACAATTTCTATAGGAAATATGCTTAAAAGTACAGGTTCGGATTATCGAGTACAATGAAATTCGGATTACAGAGTACCCAATGTATTGAAAAGCTTGTTCGGACTACTGAAGAATTCGGATTATCGAAAGTTCGGATTATCGAGTCTGCACTGTAGTATATTTACAAACATAAAAATTAATATGCAAACAGCCAAGCCATATAAGGCGTAGAGGAAAAAAAAACTCAGTACGTAATATAAATAAGCTGCAATGTTCCGAATAGAATATTAAGTGGACTTAGGAAATTACACAAAAATAAAAAGTAAGGATCTTATAGCGGTTCCATTCATAGAACTTCATAACTTCCTCATAGGTTGGTAACATATTGTCTTTAATATCACTTGCATCACTAAACAACGGGCATTTCCACATTAATCTATCCAATGTTATTACAACGGGCGGGTCTTCGTTTATGTTGTATCTAAAGATAGTAAAACAATGATACATTCTCCGTTGCGGTATCTTTCCTTTTGCAGCGTTTGTTACCTTCGTTTTTGAACGACCGTCGTATTATAATGAATCATTACTAAAGCCAGTATTGTTTCAGCTATGTGTTTATCGGTTCTAGAACTTGACGCAAGGTGTTGTATACGTGAGTATTTTTTTATCATAAATTTTAATTTTAGCTGTATGAATGTCCCAAAAAAATACGCACACGTACATACATTTTGCATCTCTTTTCACGTCATTTTCTAATCAGATTTGAAGTTGAAACCCTACGCAACATTAACTCACATCCACATATGAATTGTAAAAATGTAATGATAATGTGTGTTACAGCGAAGCCTATAAACTGCTACAACTGTGATAGTGAGTATGACGTTCGCTGCAGGGATCCTTTCAACTGGTCGTCGCCCGAAATTCACCCTCCCTATATTTCCTGCAATGGATGCTGTATTAAATGGGTTTTAAATTCAAAAACACGTACGTATAAGTTGAATTGTATTGTTAAGTCAAGAGCTGGCGTTGGTTGAGGTCCGTTGTAAGATGTCAACTGTATGATATTGGCGACCCCTACACCTTCAATACGAATCGCCTCAGCGTTCAATATTTTTCGGGATACTTTTATATCAGTACTAACCTGTATGTTATGTTAACAACATCGGACAATTAAAGGACGTAGATAAAAGAATATATAAGGAGGATATGTTTTATGGCAAGTCAGTGTTTGACTGACGAGCCACAAGAGGTCACTTTGGCTCCGCATAATATATGTAATTTTTTCTTCAAACGTGAGATCGTCGTAGATAGCCGTGAGCACGTCGCTCTTTTGGCATTTTAGACGTCTGTGCGTTGGCATTGGCAGCATATAAAAAAGTACTAGATTATAATTATTGGTAGAACCAGTTTTGAAAGTGATACTTTTTTTCATGAATTTGTATTAATGAGGGCGAAGACACTTACAAAACGTGTTGTACAGGAAATTGTGTTGCATAGTAATCCTTAATAACTCATAATCGAATATCATTCACATTCGTGATTTACTATCCGTCATTAATTCAGGCTATTGTTCACATGGTAATACATAGTAAAAATCGTGAAAACACTTTCCATACGATTTTATGGCCAAAAAAATCCGGTAAATTGAAATCTATGCAAAAAAAGTACTTTTTCTTCAACCAGCTGACGCGTCGTCCACCAACACTCTTCCTAGTCCCGAAAACGAGCATTTTTCATACTTAAAATAAATAATAAAACAAATAGCTATTGTCTGAGCCTGTCAATGGCAACGAGGACTTTTTTATACACTGCCAATGCCGACACACATGACGTCTAAAACATCAAACTTTTATGTCATGAAATGAGTTGTGAAATGTCACGTTCTATTGACGTTTGAGGAAAAAAGCTAGTTATCGCGATAGTTCTTGCATTTTCAAGAAAAAGAGTCAAGCGGAAGCAGTGGGTAAAAGGCTGGTTAAAAGGCAAGATTAAAAATTAGACAAATTAGCTGTAAAGTTGCGAGTTTTTGACTTATTTGTTGCATCTCATTGTTTCGATCAAACTTTCTAATTCCATGAGAGAGACTGAGAAGTGAAATAATAAACCCTAGAATTAAATAAAATAGAAACATAAAAAACAGAATTGTAATCAAAACCAATATTCATTCATTTTTAATTTGGTATGCACCTCTGTCATCAGCTACTACCCCTATTCGCCTAAGGCAATAATCAACCTTTTCACTTAATCGCGCCCTACTGACCAAATAATGGTTATTGTGTAAGAACAATAGCCTAAAAATGCTATACATCCTGTATTAAATGGCTCTAAAACATAAGTAAACTAAATTGGGATTCAAAGTTTTCTATTCCAAGAATGTATTGATTAAATTTCTTTTCTTTTTTCAGCAAAGGAGATAGTGCGAAGGTCTTGTATAACACAGTACCAGGTAAATTTATTCATGGTAGACAGAGGTTGTATGCAAGAGAGAAGCAAAACAGGTCATTTATGTTTCTGCGAAGAAGACTTATGTAATAGGTGTAGTACAAAAGTTCCTAATATAGTCTTGCTTGTTTTTATTACACTATTTTATATCATTAAATAAAAGGAAAAGGTCGTCGTGTTTCATTCCTCCGACATCCCTGACTATAGGGACGCCGGAGGCGGGCTGCTCAGGCTTACCAGAGAACGGGAATGTAAGGATAGGTAAAGTTAGGGGTGGGAACGGAAGGAACGGAGTTATGGTGCTGAGGGGGAGAGTACTGCTCCATCATTCCTCTCGTAGATTTCAACATAATGCTAGCATTATGCGAAGCTACGTATGTCTGAGGAAAACCCCCTGACAAAACCCCAGACGGAGCAGTCGGCAGCGGGATTCGAACCCACGACCTCCCGAATAGTATCGGTGAGCGCAACCACTGCGCCACGCGCCTCGGTATCATTAAATAAAAGATATTGACCTCTATTAGCATATCACAATCTTTGCTAAAAACAATATGATTGAATTTCAACCTTTCACATACCGGTCTGAAACGTACCTGTGATCGAAAAAGTTGCAAAAGAAGACAATAATTCCCCAAGGGCCAAGATGATGTACCTTGGGAAGTACACTTTACACATATATATCTGAACAGGAGTCCAAAAACGTGATTTTTGCGTGGGAGCCATTTTAAAGTGTGGTGTAATTCTAACAAGTTGTTGCCAGTCCCAAGGAGTGGCTATCTGAAAAGCAGGAGTTTTCTTTACTTGCCTCTCAATTAATGCATGGTCAGTGTCTGCTTCAAGATGTGTGTGACCTCTTAGTAAGTATTTATGGTTGATGATTTTAAGCTTTGGGCAAATAGAAAGAACGTAAAAATAACACATCACAATCAATCTTAAAAAAGGGCACCTTTGGTTCACTACTGTATTTGGGAGGAAAACTAATTAGCACTGGCATTCCTAAGCTGAGGAGAATTGGTTCAGGTTAAATTAATATCTGTTGGTGTA